CCGTCCTCCAGCCCCCCTACCACCCCGCCCCTCGGCCTTGTCTCGACCCGCCCATCGCCGCCCCGGCTCTCACCGTCGCTTCTTCCTCGCCTGTGTGCCTCCCTTCACCCTCGTCCCTTTCGTCGTCCCGCCCCCGGCCCGACGCCGCACCCCGGACTTGCCCCGCCCAAAGGCCCCGCCCCCGCCCTGACGCCCCGCCCACCCCTCCGTCCAGTTCCCCCCCGCCCCGTCCCTCCGCCCCGCCCCCGCCCCGCCCCTTGTCCACCTGCCGGGCCGGGTGCCCTGGGACCGCCGCAGGACTTCGCCCCGGCTACGCCGGCTCTTTCTTCTAGTCTTTTCTCTTCTCAGCGTGTGAGAAGAGGCGGGGTTTTTCCATCAGGACCCCAGGGAAGAATCGGTCTCGAACAGGCGATGCTCGCCCTCAGCTAGCCGAGAACCTGAGCGGGCCGTGACGCAGGCGCGTTCCTTCGATTCTTCCGTTAGAACCGAACGCCTGCGGACAGTCGGAAGGCGAACGCGCATGCGCCCAGGCCACAGCCTTCCGGTGACAATGGAAGGTGTCGGACGCCGGCGGCTGGCTGCGCATGTGCAGCGCGCGGTTGGGCGTGCGCTCGTTACCTGGTTACGGTCGTTAGACTTCTAGTACCAGTTTTGCTGTCAAAAGTTCATTTATGCTAACGACGAACGCTTGTAAAGCGTCTTACCGTTTGCTAAACGAATTCTCTTACAGTATTTCATTTGCTCCTCCAGAGAGCTCTGAGAAGGAAGGAGAGCTTCATCCCCCAATTTACAAATACCTCACGGGCCTCTCAAACTCAACAGGTCCCGTCCTAAACCCCTGGTCTCTGCCAACCTGCTCCTGCCCCAGGGCTCCCTGTCGCAATGAAGGGCACCACCACCCACCAGCATCCTGCTGAGAATCCCGGAAGTCATTCCTACCTCCTGCCCTGGCCCAACTGCCTCTCAGTTTTCTAAAAAAATAGTGGCCGTGGAGTCGATTCCGACTCATGGCAACGCCATGTGCGTCAGGGTAGAACTGTGCTCTGTAGGGTTTTCAATGGCTGGTTTTTCAGAAGCAAATGTCCAGACCTTTCTTCCAAGGCACCTCCAAGCTTTAGATTAGCAGCCAAGCGCATTCACCATCTGCACGTCCCCGGGACTCCTCAGTACTTACCAACAGTCGCTAAACAACCCCGTCTGCCTCCGTGCTGATCCCTGCAATCTGTGCCCACCCTATCCCACCACCTTCTCTCCACATTGCTGCCAGCACCTGTCTGCTGGCCTCCCCACCGGCAGGCTCCCAGCAGTGTCGGGAAGTGAGGTCTGGGCCTGCTGCACGCGCCTCTGCCCTTCCTTCATGCCAACTCCTTTCCCATCACCCGCCACCTCTCCCAGCCTCCTCTCCCTGCGCCTGACGCTGGGCGAGAAACTCTGTTTTGGGGTCAGGTTTTTGGCACCAACAGTTTCCCACTGCCTCATATGCACCCCATTCCCCTCTTTCTGTCTGTCCCAGTCCGCCTCTGAGGCCCAGTCCCTGTTCCCTCTGAGGCCCTGACTCTCAGAGTGAGGAGAGGCCCCCTCTGTGCCCAGAGGGCCTCTCATTCCTTGGTTATGTCCCCTGAACCAAGGCCAAAATCGCCTTGCCCCATGGCCAGAGGGCAGGAACAAAGTGGCTTCACTAGCTCAGCACCTGGCTCGATTGCACAATCAGATCTACCCTATAACACATATGTCTTGGTAGTCATAATAAACATGTATGCTACTGGCTTGTGTATGTACTGTACTATACTCTCTGTCATTATTTTAATGAGAACTTTCCCTACTTACAAATAGAGTTTACCATATGTCTTAGTCATCTAGTGCTGCCATAGCAGAAATACCACAAGTGGATGGTTTTAACGAAGAGAAATTTATTTCCTCACAGTCAAAGTAGGCTAAAAGTCCAAATTCAGGGCGTCAGCTCCAGGGAAGGCTTTTTCTCTCTGTCGGCCTTCTCATCAGTGTTCCCTCGGACTAGGAGCTTCTTGGCACAGGGACTCCAGTCCAAAGGACGCGCTGTGCTCCCGGCACTGCTTTCTTGATGGTATGAGGTCCCCCTGCCCTCACTGCTCACTTCTGTCTTTTGTATCTCAAGAGATTGCCTCAGGACACAATCCAGTCTTGTAGATCAGGTCCTGCCTTACTCACACAACTGCCACCCATCCTCCCTCATTAACATCATAGAGGCAGGATTTACAACATATAGGAAAACCACACAATACCAGGAATCATGGCCGCTGCCAAATGGATACACACATTGTTGGGGGGACATAATTCAAACCATGACACCATATAACAGTGTGCTATGGATTGAATTGTGTCCCCTAAAAATATGTGTCAACTTGGCTAGGCCATGATTCTCAGTATTGTGTGGTTGTCCTCCATTTTGTGATCTGATGTGATTATCCTACATGTTGAAAATCCTAACCTCTGGGATGTTAATGAGGCAGGATTAGAGGCAGTTATGTTAACAAGGCAGGACTCAGTCTACAGGATTAGGTTGTATCTTGAATCAATTTCTTTTGAGATATAAAAGACAGAATCAAGCAGAGAGGAGAGAGACCTCATTACCACCAAGCAAGAAGAGCCAGGAGCAGAGTAAGTCTTTTGGACTCGGGGTCCCTGCGCTGAGAAGCTCCTAGACCAGGGGAAGATCGACGACAAGGACCTTCCCCCAGAGTTGACAGATAGAGAAGGGCTACCCCTGGAGCTGGTGCCCTGAATTCAGACTTCTAGCCTCCTAAACTGTGAGAGAATACATTTCTGTTTGTTAAAGCCATTTACTTGTGGTATTTCTCTTATAGCAGCACCAGATAACTAAGACACAGCGCACGCTTCAACTTGCAGGCAGCAGCATCCAATCTCTTGAGTGCTGTAGCCAGGGCCGGATTACCCAATAAGCAAGTACGCACGAGTCCAATGGTGCCTTCTCACCAATCTGCAGTGCACAACTTCACCTGTCCCCCACCATGTCAAGGATGTGGTGGAACCCATGTGAAATTGCTTACCACAGATTAGCAAGCAAATACAATTAAGCCCGCGCGTACCTTGCACAATGCAAGCCAGCGCATACTGTGCTTACTGGCTAAGCTGCTCCTTGTTGTAGTGTTATCTCTCTGTTTAATTTTCTTTCAAAAATATTACTCTGAAGCACATTATGGCTCCCAAAAGCAGCAAAACCAGTGCTAGTGATAGCAGCAGCAAGAGGCAAGGGAGAAGTATGGATCTGGAAGTGAAACAATGCATATCTCATGTAGCTTTGCTAAGTACATGACATGGTGTTCACACAACATCCAAATCACATAACCGCACATTTCACAGAAGCTATCATGGACGTTAAGCGGTGCATAACTGTATTTGTATTCAATGAGCACAGAGAACATAAGTGACTCCCTGGGGCACCAAGTAACAATGCTGAGCTGCTGGGCATCTCCCCGCTGTTCTGCCCATCGCTTCTGCCTCGTCCCTAGCGCCTACCAGGCTGGGCACCATTTACGCACTCCCATGGAGGATTTTAGGGACGAGGTGGGTACCGTATTTGTATCTTCATTTTCCAGAGGCAAGAACAGGGACTCGGCAGGTGAGGTAGAGGCCAGCAGGGCCTGGCCCACTCACCTGCATACCTACCTGGCCAGGCTCGCCCTGCTTGCACCCCTCTTCTTCCAGTGGGCAGGAGGGGCGGACCCCTTGCCCGTCCTCCAGCATCCCCTGGCAAGTGTCCTCCCAGCAATGGCTGCTTCTGCTGCTGAGGGCCGCCCTCGGTGGGAAGGCTCCGGGGTGACCGGCGTGACCCAGAGGCCGTGGCAGGAGGAAGGTGTGTGGTTCTTTCTGCTGTTTGTTTGCCGCCACGCTGTCGGAGCCCCAGGCGGTACAAGCAGTCACAGCCCATCTGACGTGGCACCGAGGGCCACCCGGCTAAGCTAACATTTGCCTTTCAGGAATCAGATTGAGAACTGTTCCAACCCAGGTCAGGGAGCAAGTGCTGGGACTCAGCCCCGGCCCCAGTAGGAGAGGCGGCACCAGCCCACCACCCTGCTCTGCTTCTTCCAAGGGTCAATAGGCATTCTGCTCGCCCTCGCTTTGTTCCAACAAGAACCTCGGTGGAGACAGCGGTCCTTGGTACCCCTCCCAAAAGTGGGGAAAGCAGAGACGAAGGCCTGACTCTCTCAGCCTCTAGCTGGTTCCTCTCTGCTCTCAAACTGAGGGCAAGGCTTCAAAGAGCAGGGCGGGACTGGCCTCCCAGGAGCCCTGTTGTCCAGCCCTGGTGGGACTCTGACCTGGAGGGACTGGGAACTACAGGAACCGCAGCTGCCCCGACCACAGCCAGGCCCCTACAGCCCCAGGACAGGCCCCTGACAGGGCTGCTAAGGACACATGTTGTGTTCGATCCTATTGAGGTGACTTTAAGGAAAGCTATGAACCAGCAAAGTTAACCTTTGAGGCCCTTCAGGCTGCTCTTCCTTCGCCTCCCCTCCCACCTCATCCCAAGCCCCTGAGGCCAGCCTGCCTCTCAACCTCGGGTACTCTGGTGTGGGAAGAGGGCTCCTGGGTCCCCCAGCTGAGCCCAACAAGCCTCTGGGCCCTGGAGCTCAGGGCTTTCAGGTCACAGCCCTTTGGTTACAAGCCCAGCCTGCAGCGTCCTTAACTAGCCTGAGCATCGGCTTCTCTCTCTAAGTCAGACACAGGGACATCCTTCTGAGATTGAAGCAGGCGGACACAGTTTGGGGACTTCAGGCGATGTTGTGGATACATATGCAGGGACATCAGGCATGACCTGGGGTTGTGCAGGGCACACTGGGATGTAGGGTGATGCTTACTGCAGATGTACAGGGCCTTCACCCAGAAGCTGCCTGCCCATGATCGCACCACTATTCCTCATTAGACGTCCCTCCCTCTGCCGGGAATGTCCTCTCCTCTCTCCTTTCTCTGGATTGCTCCCATCCTTGGAGGCTGGATACAAACTTCACCACCTCCCTGAAGCCCTCAGGTGCCTCGAGCCAGCATCAGCTCTTCCTTGGGGTGAGGTTGCAGCACCTCATACAAAGCTCCATGATCATATAGTCATATTTTCCGAAGCACACGGGGCAC